ACATCTGGCACTTGCAACATGGAGATTTTAACGCAACTTTAATAAAAAGGCTAATGGAATATCACAAAGATGTAAAAAAAAAAAAAAAATAGAGGCAGAGAATAGAGAGAAACTGAGGTTTGGACTTTCTTAAGTCAAGATTTTTTTTTTTTTTAAACTCTTTTGAGTCCGTGCAAAGAGGGAAAAAAGGGGGAAAAAAAGAGAGGAAAGAATCAAAAGCTTGTATAGTGAGGAATTTTCAGTGCCATCAATTCAATGAATTGAATTTTGGACTGTCATCCATTTGGAACAAAATCGCTTTTCCCTCAACATTTGCACCCACTTTCCCTTACATGACATGATAAATTTTCATTTTTCACACCATGGGATCATGTTTCTTTTCCTTTTTCTCTTCTCACTTTCTCGAGAAAAAAGAAGGAAAAGGGAATTACACTGAGGGCTAAGTATAATGTAAAGATGCCCATCTAAATCTAGTTGGGGAATATATTTCAATCCAAACAATGATGCCTACCTACAATCACTTTATTTGGAATGATTCAATTTTTAGGTGGCCATGTAGCATTGTGGTAATATCAACATCCTATCGATCACTTTCTATCAAATTCCAAGCTGAAAAGGTTTCCAAGCGAAACGAAAACTAAAGAGGATAGAAATGTAAAGTTATTAATTAACAAAAGTGGATGAAGATGACTCTTTTCCACCTTCCTTTAAATTTTTGTGATCCGTTCCTTCATGTATGTTGATGCCCCATGCCCACGCCTTTTCTCCCCCATGGTACCGATGCTTAACTTATTAACCTTCTTCTTCTCCAAATTAATATCAACATGTTAGGCAATGCACCGATGCTTACACTATTAATTTCTTCTCCTCCAAATTACCATTCATATGGTATAGTTCTATAATCTAAATTTTATTAAATTGTAAAACTATAACTTTTTTTTTTTTGTTCAATTTATTTTAGTTTTGTGTAAGTTTGTTTGCCATAGAGAAATTATAAAGAAAGTGAAAAAAATGGAATCCTCAGCTCTTCTTAAAAATGATCAATTAGATTCATTCCTCAAAATTATGATTTCTAGTTAAGATGAACTTCTCTAAAATTTGAATGATTCTAATTAAGATTTCTAAATATAACAATATTTTTATAAAAAAAAATATTTTTATAATTTATATTACATTCAATTATAAATAAAAATTTTATAATAAACGTCTAGATCTCTATTTTATCGGCCAATACAATTTCTTCTTTAAAAGAAAACTGTTTGAGTTAGAAATTTGTTTTCTAGTAGAAATTGCTAGAGCCCACTTAATTCCAAAGCTACAGTTCAGGTAAAGAAAATTAAATGATGATGAAATGGAGGTGGTGGTCCATAGACACGTGCGAATGATGACAATGTCTTGCTAATGATGGAATCTTCCACTGTTTGGGACCCACTCATGATGAAATTCTACTTCACCCTCTTCTAACTTTGACCGACAAATAAAAATCTACGTACGTACGAAATTTTCACAAGTTAATTTTGACTTGCCAATCATGTCACACCACGTGTCCACATTTCTCCTCCATTTTCCACTGATGCAGACTTGGCCTCTGCTGATTGGCTCGAGAATAAGACAACGAATTTTCCTTCAAACTGAACAGTGCCGGAAGATTTTTGATAGTTGTGACCCAAAATTTTTGTGACAAATTCTTAGGCACCTGAATTCATTCGCTGTTTTTGTTGAATTATTGCAAGGACTTGGTCACATTTTCTCCTTAATTCATCTTCCAATATCCCTTTTATTATACACACAAATTAGAATGACAGTAATTTATATATATATTTAAAAAATCCATCTTTAATTATTTATCACACTTTTTTAATATAATTATATATAAAAAAATTATAAAAATTCATAAAAATACAATTATTATAGGTTACAATTTCATATTTATCATTTTTAGACTCTTAATGGAGCCAACTAAAACATTTGTGTAATAAAGCAATAATAACTATCTACGTATTTGTATAATTTCAACAACTAAATCGAACAAAGACTAAATTAAAGAAAATGTATTTGACAAACTGAGTTAGTATTACGTATGCATACAAGTACTCATGATGGGTATATTAGGTGGTATTAGTGATAGTTTCCTCTTCTGGAGGGTCAAGAATAATGAACTAAGGAGTCATGGCCCAGAAGGAATGAGGAAATTACTAAATGATCTAACAATTGATTAATTAGCTAGCAGGTACAAAATCATGCCTCCTAAGCTATGAAAAACTTCTGTTAAGGTTTGTCGTGATTGAAGGGGATGGTGTAATCAGTTGCGAGATCTTCTTACGTGGGGATGAAAAATGGCATCCCCACTCATGATAAATGGAAGATTTTGTCAACACTGCCATTATTATCCCACGCATTGTCCCAACTATTAAGCTGGAATTGACACTTGCCCAATACAATTTAACCTTACCTTTTAAATTTTCCCAACTTATCTTTCTAACTTTTCTGCTGGAGCACTAAATGTTCGCCTTTTTTGAAAAACTATTCTTATGGGCGTGCCGCTTAAATTGGACAGTAAAATATAAATTATTTGATAGTTTTTTATTTTATATGTTATAAATTTATATTAAAAAATTAAAATATACTTTTAAATTATATAATATTTTTATCTATTTTTTCTTAAAATTTCTCTTCACCATCCTTGAAAAATAAAAATAAAAAGGGTTAAAAGACCTAATTTTGAATTTTACATACAGAATTTTGGAATCAAACAAACAGAGTCATTGGAAGAGGAATTTTCCACTATCTTCTGTTCACCTTCATATATAATTAAAAAAAGTATTATATTGTATAAATTATATTAAATTATAAAATATTTAAAAATTATGATATAAAAATATAAAAAGAGAGTAAAAAGTGAGTCAAAAAATTTATAAAAAATAAAAATTTGAAAGTTTTCAAATTCATTATTTAAGATTTTTTTAAGATTAAAA